TAACTCAATATACAAAGTAAAGAGGATGCAAACAAGATAATAAACAACTACCAACATCCACGGACACATGTCCGAATCACTGTACAACAAGGGTAAACCCGGGATCGCTATAAGTTGTATCTCGCTCTCTCTCTACAAAGCCTATTAATTCTCTCATATTTTGAGCTCAAGAATATGGGCTATTATATATATAGGCTCAATCAATTTATTTAATTAATCAAAGCTTAAGTTAAATAATTATAACTTCAGTTAATTGAATTTAATCTATTTAATTTGATCTGAATTAATTTTTTTATTTAAATTTTACAATAGACTCTAAATATTACACTAATCACAATAAAGTAATTAATTTCGGCTTCTATCGCCTTTATGGCCCTCAATTTACAACAATCCATTTCAAATTACTTCATTCCTTCCTAATTTCTAGGTTTTTCCAAAACTAGGTTCAAGCTTCAAAAATTGAGTTTGCCTTGCATTAATCCATGAAAACACTTCCATAAATTTGTAAACACTTTAGGAAATTCAAATACATAATTGTTCTCAAGGCTCTTGCACAAATCTCATGATTCTTTCATAAATGGGTTTCAAATGTTCATGCATGCAAAGATTAGTTTCAAACTCACAACAATGGCTTTCAGAACATGAGATTAGACTTCAAAACTCTTTAAATCAAGGATGCATGTAAGAGTAAACTTTGAAAATCAACATAGATTACATATTCATGCTCACAAATGGTGATTCAACACACACATATATATACATATATCCATATATATATATACAAAACTTCCATATTCATCATCTTCAAGTTAGTTCATGCAATTACTCCCAAAATCCCTTTAATTCCATGGATTAGATGATACAAAATGCAAAGAAAAATACATACCAAGAGTTTAATTTTGGATTAGGAGATGAATCTCCATAGCTCTCTTCCTTTTCCACCCAAGCTTCTCTCTCTCTCCCTCTCTCCCTCTCTTTCTCTCACTACACTAAATTATACATACAAATCTGGTTACTCAGTACACCCACCAGATTGCTCAACACACACACCCACACAGATTTTTCTGCACACACCCAGATTCTCAGCACACCCACCAGAACATAATCTCCTACACTTAACATCATTAAATGTCAAATAGGATACTTTTACTTTTATTTTATTTTATTCGCTAATTAATTTGTCCAAGGCTTTAATTAATTCTTAATTTTTCTTTAAGTTAAATTAAATGATATTCACTCAAATTAAATTACTCATCAAATTATGATCTCAATTACACTAAATTTAATTATATAAGTGTGAATTAGGCTCTAATTGCCTATCTAATAATTTAATTTTAGCATGTTAAAATTTACGAATCAGACTGGTTTATTTCCCATTTTAACCTATCTGGTCTTAATAACACAATTCAATAAATCACATAACAATCAATAACACTTAACAATACATAATAACATAATTAAAATTAAGCACGTAATCAATATATAATTAATTTACTTAATTAAGGTGGTGGTTGTCACGCTTTGGTTCTTCAGCGCCTCTTATGTCATCTTCAATCTTACAATATTGTTCAACTCATCTCATCAAACTTCCCAAATCGGTCGAGGGCTTTTTTGTTAGTGATTACAGAAGTTTACTATCGGGTAGCAACCCTAACTTGAATGAGGCTACTGCCAGTTGCTCATTGCAGTTATCGATTTCATTATAAGCTGCCCAATACCTACTGGAATACTCCCGTACCCTTTCCGTATTTTCCTTCTTCATTGTGAGAAGCACATCCACTTCTTTCGGTGGCCGACTATTGGTAATAAAACGTAAGACGAACGCTTACTGCAGTTGTGCCCAATCGCTGATAGATCGAGCTTCCAATTTGTAGTACCATCACAATGCCATTTCACCTAAACTTGAGGAAAACATCCAACACATGATCGGGCCATTGTTGCTCCATAACGTCATGGCCTGCGTATAATGTTGGATGTGGCTAGTCGGATCCCCATTGCCATCATACAAGTTGAATTTTGGCGGGGTGAACCTTTTTGGTGGATCTGGGCTGTCTATTGTTTGATAGAAAGGAGACTCTAAATCATCTGCGAAGAGTTTTCGTCTAACGGGTTTTAGATGTCCTTTGGTCCGACTATCGAGCCAACTCCTTAGGTCATTCTCTGGGTTATCCGAAAAATCCCTTCGGGTGGCCTAACGTTTTTTCTACGTTCGGTCGGGGTTGCTACTGGCGGTCTGGCTTGCGACTTGATGGTGATTTGGTCACCTTTGTCGATCGGCGGTTCGAGCTTGTTTGGTAGGCTTTCTTCAGGTTGCGCATAGTTTTTCCTTGAGTGCTTCAACTTCCGCTATCAGTTGTTCAATAAGTTGGCCTTGTTAGTTTTCGAGACCTAGCAGAATTAGTGGCTCGGAGTTGGCGGGGGTAGTGTTGGGATCGTGGCCGAAATTTTCACTAGCCATATTCTCGATCGGCAAATTTTAGGAGTGTGTTGGTATTTCATCCAGAGTAGGATGGATACTTATCTTTTCTCGAATTTCCTACAGACGGTGCCAATTGTGGAAGGGGAAAATATTTTCTCCACAGGGAAAGCGAGATGAGTTGTTCCTTCTTTTACTTTGCAAAAGAGACAATTACCGAAACATCAATGATCTCCCTCGACCAAGGTTGGTTGGGGGGACCCTCCAATGATCAAATTAGAACCTTGATTAAACATGTCGTTTTTCTTCTGAAGAGAAGTATCTATTTCTTTCTTTTTGCTTACCTTTAAATGGTTTTCCTTCATCCTTTTATAGTGTGGATACTTGGTATTGTGACCGTTGGATTGTGGTACCGATCCAATGGTGTTTTATGTATGCAAAGACTGGTCGGGCAAGTAGGCAAGTGATTTTTATATGCCTTTGTTGGCTGCCCGGTGTTACAGATGGCCTAGATTCAGTTCGGGTTTTGCGCACTCATTCCTGATCGTTGGATTGATCTTATCAAATGCCCAGATTGTCAGAGTTGGTCGATTTTGTATCCTTTCTTTTGTTAGTTTTTATCTCTATCATTGATTTCTATCTCATCTAAGGGTTTTCCTTCCTGTTTAAGGATCTCTTTTCTGAAAACGATTATGTCTAAATCTCCTATCACGTGACCTTCTTTGCTTTACAACTATACCTTCTAAGGGCTTAGGCCTAAACTTTTTCCTGGTTGGGTAAAAATGCTTTGGGGCCGCATCTTAACTTGCTTGGGCCTTGGGCTTAAATTTTTATCATCCACGATATCAAATAGACCAAGATTTATTCAAGTATATCTACAAACACTTTTGTCTACAGGTACACAATAAAAGGTACAACAATGGTTAATTTTATTTTTTTTTTTAAAATGGTTTATTATTGGGACATTCTCTATAGTTAATCCTCTCAACTACATAATTTGACCCCTCAATTACAAAAGAAGAACCAAACAAAATGTAGAGGGGATACATGTAGTCAAAATGTACAATTTTATAATCACTACGCCAAAATTGGGCTTTAGCGGCGGTTTTTTACCGCCGTTAAATGATGTAAAACCGCTGTTAAAGCCTTCAACGGCGGTAATTTAGGACCGCCGTTTATACTCGTGTCGGAAAAGGTACAATCGTCGTAAAATGGTAAATTACCGTTGTTAAAAGTCGACCAAAAACGGCAGTAATATAGGACCAAAAACAGCGGTTCTTTACCGCCGTAAATAGGTTCAAATTTTTAAAAAAGTAACTCTCTCTTCTTGCACCCCCTAGGTCTCAAACCCTTGGCCTCTAATCCACACATGCCAACCACTCCACCACAGCCACTCTATATGAAGTACATTTCCTAATAAATATTTAAACATTACTTTTGCTTTATTGTAGATGGTCATATTCAACCTCTGACCGTGCGTGGTCACCACTCGCCGGAGTTCCACCGGAGCTCTGCTGGCAAAGACCGCCGTCATTAACGGCAGTAATGACAGGGCTTTAGTAGCGGTTTCGTTACCGCCGTTAAAAGAGAGTTTTAGTGGCAGTTTTTTTAACGGCGGTAATGAAACTGCCGTTAAAGATACATTAACGGCGGTTTCGTTACTGCCGTTAATAGTATCTTTAACGGCAGTAACAAAAACCGCCGTTAATGCCTTGTTTTGGCGTAGTGAATTGAAGGAGATTTACGTGATAAGTTTTGTCAATGTCTATAAAATAGACCCAAAAAATAAGGCAAATTTATATCTTCTTAAGACTTTGCAATTTTAATTATATTAATTTTATTTTATTTTTTAATTTTTCATAATGTGTTGATTTAGTTGAATAATTAATGTCCGTTAAGAAATTGGACAAAAAGTAAAGGCAAAATTAATAGTGGTGAAGGGAGGCGGTGGCATCAGAAAGATGAATTTTCTTGCCTGATTTCCATTCATTTTAAAAATAAAAAATAAAAAATTATCAATAAAACTAAATAATAAAACATAAAAAATTAAAGAATAATATTGATATAATTCAAAATATAGAGACCAAATCCACAGACAGAAAAACTAAAGAGACAGTTTGTCACAAAAAATAAATACCTGAAAGTTGAGATAATGGAATCAAGCTTGGGGTTGAATGAATATATAAATGAATGAATTACCCAAAAGCAACAACTGTAATAGCCCATGAAATAATAATTGCAGAAGAAGATGCACTGGGTAAACTATCACTGGACAGAATAAGCACCAACGACTATTTGGTTGAAGAAATCAAACCCTGTCCGGATTAGGAAACAATTAGGAAATCAATTCTTATCTGAATCAGGAAACAGCGAGAGTTCCATTCATTACAACTTCAAATTCCTAGACCTATTAAACTTCTATCACTCACTATTATATAAACACTTGTCTACAAAGCCCTATACTAAATCCACTTGTTTTTCTGTCTACTTTTTCTCTGTTACTGCTGCATAATAGTCACATATCAACGCCTCCTTCTTCTTGATCTTCTTCTTCTTCTTCTTCTTCTTCTTCTTCAATCAAGCAATGGCTGGTGCTCTTATCACTCCTGCTGGTAACGATTCCCCGAAAGATTATCCCGGAAAACTTACTTGGTATGTCTTGGTAACTTGCGTCATCGCCGCCATGGGTGGCCTGATTTTTGGCTACGACATTGGTATCTCTGGTAAGCCTTTCTTCTTATACTTAATTATCTGCGATTCTTTGCAGTTCTGTTAGTTTTGAAAATATATGTTGTCTATGTTTCTGATTGTGCGTGTTAATGTACACCTCCTACACCACTAAAACCTACCACTACCACTACACACCTCCACTACTCCTCACCCACTCCACCTACCACCTCCACTTTACCTACTACCACCACCCACTCTACACCTACTACTCCCAAAACCTCTCTATATATAGGACTTGTAATATACAGATAAAAACAACAATCAATACAACATATATCAATATATACATACAATTTATTCTCTCTATCTATTTATCTTACAGTGCGATTGATTAATTTGAATGAATATATGATATTGATTAATAATGGTGATGTTATAATGATTAGGTGGGGTGACATCAATGGCTCCGTTTCTTGACAAGTTTTTCCCGTCGGTGTATCAGAAGGAAGAGCTCGATCACTCAACCAATCAGTACTGCAAGTTCAACAGCCAAACGCTGACCATGTTTACATCGTCCCTGTATTTGGCTGCTCTTATTGCATCCTTCTTTGCCTCGACGATGACCAAGAAACTGGGCCGCAAGTTTTCCATGCTCATGGGCGGTTGCGTCTTCTGTTGCGGTGCTCTTCTCAACGCCTTCGCTGTACACCTCGCTATGCTCATCATCGGTCGAATTTTGTTAGGTGTTGGTGTTGGTTTCGCCACTCAGGTAATTAACTAATTCATTCATAAAAACGAAAGCTCTTCCTTTCTTTCTCTCTTTCTTTGCTCCAATCCAATCCAATCCAATATTATTACAACTTTGAACATTACATTTACTACATAATGTTGTTGTTTGTATTAAATAATTTACTAAATTCTAAATTAATTAATTAATTTCAGTCAGTGCCACTGTTTGTATCGGAGATGGCTCCACACAGATACCGCGGAGCCCTCAACGTCTGCTTCCAACTATTCATCACAATCGGCATTCTGCTTGCCGGTCTGGTCAACTACTTCACCAACATGATCAAGGGCGACTTGGGCTGGCGCATCAGCTTGGGAGGCGCCGCTGTTCCAGCCGTCCTCATGATCTTCTCATCTCTCTGGGTCTCCGAAACCCCAAACTCCCTCATTGAAAGAGGCCACTTGGACAAAGCCAAGAAGCAGCTCCAGCGCATCCGCGGAGTCGCCGACGTCCAAGCCGAGTTTAACGATCTGGTGGATGCGAGTGCTGCCTCAAAGGAAGTGGAACACCCATGGAGGAAGCTCTCGATGAGAAAGTATAGGCCTCAGCTTTGTTTGGCTATTTTGATTCCGATGTTTCAGCAACTCACCGGGATCAATGTGGTTATGTTCTACGCTCCTGTGCTGTTCAAGACCATTGGGTTTCAGAGCAACGCTTCGCTTGCATCGGCCATGATCACCGGTGGTGTGAATGTTCTTGCCACATTTATCTCTGTTTTTGGGACTGATAGGTGGGGGAGGAAACCCCTGTTTCTATGGGGAGGTGGCATCATGCTTGTGTTTCAGGTAATCCTTGTAACCAAATCTTCTTCTCCATCGTCTTTCTATTTATCTATTGATTTTGTGTCCAATTTTTCAAGTTTTTGTAAAACACACTTTTATGGTATTTGCACTATTTCATTACATGTTAATTTTTTACTTAATACAATTTTATTGTGTATGTGTTATTTATATATGCAGAGTGCAGTAGCAGTTCTTATTGGCGCTAAATTTGGAGTAACAGGAGATGCTACCAATTTGGGAATGCTATATTCAAGCATCCTAGTAGGTTGCATCTGCATGTTCGTCTCAGCTTTCGCATTCTCATGGGGTCCTTTGGGATGGTTGGTGCCTAGCGAAATCTTTCCTCTCGAGATTCGGTCATCCGCGCAGAGTATCGTCGTGGCCGTGAATATGTTATTCACTTTCCTCGTTGCCCAAGTCTTCCTTGCTGCTCTTTGCATGGTCAAGTTCGGCCTATTCATCATCTTTGCGGGTTTAGTGCTAATCATGAGCCTCTTTGTCATCTTTTTGGTGCCGGAGACCAACAATATACCTATTGAGGAAATGTCACAAGTGTGGAGAGGGCACTGGTATTGGAAAAAATTTGTTGATGATGAAAAAGAAATCGAGATGAAGAATGGAAGGCCATAGAAAGATATACATAACTAGCTCGCAAGTCTTTATTAGTATTCTTTTTTGAGTTTTTAAATTTTTTTTTTATTAGTACTTTTAAGTTGTTCAACAAAAAACAAGGTTGTTAATTAGGATTCTTTTACATAAATTTTACTGGTCTTATTACGTTAATTTGTGGTTGTGTTTTGACGTGTGTCTTAAGGTTTATCTTTTATATATACATTTCACTGCTCTTAGACCATTTTTAATCATTCATCAAAATTTTTTTACTTAATTTGATTGAAAATTTAAGTAAAACTTGATTTGATATGAACTACTCCAATCGTTTTTCATCAAAAATTTTTAAGACATTACCTTCTCAACCCAAATTTTGCTTTCCATCAAATTTGATAGAAAAAAAAAAAAAAAATCATCTGTAGTTTTTCATCTTTTAAAATTTTCATTAAATTCAAATTTGATGAATTCTTAATTTGATGAAAAAAAATGAGTTTTCCTTGATTTGATGAATATTTGATAGAAAAGATTAGAGATGATTTTTTTAATAATTTTTTAATTAATTTAAATTTGATGAAAAAAAAGGGGGTGAAGGATTAGGAGTTTTTTTTAAAAAAATATTCTAAAAAAAAAAAATTTAGAGAATTGACCCACTTTTCAAACTATTTAAGAAATTCATCTGCTTTTTAAAATCACATTTTGAAAATGAAATTTTAAATTAAAATTGCATTTTTAACATGCTATTTCATCTTGAAATCGCATGTTGAAACTACAATTTATGATGATATAGACTTTATTTTTTGAAATTACATTTTTAACATGCGATTTCAAGATAAAAAGAATAAAAAAAAAAATTCTTATTTCAATATGGTTTCATCTTTTTAGGGGGAAAAAATTTTAAAAATTAAAAAATATTTTTTTGGTATTTATTTTTGTCAAATTAATTTATATTTTTCTCATAAAAATTTCAAAAAAGAGATGACTTGCACTTTGTTCAACTTCTTATATTTTCGAAAATAAAAAAAAAATAAAAAAAAACTTCTTATTTCAATATGGTTTCATCTTTTTAGGGGAAAAAAATTTTAAAAATTAAAAAATATTTTTTTAGTATTTATTTTTGTCAAATTAATTTATATTTTTCTCATAAAAATTTCAAAAAATTGATTCAAAATTTATATTCTAATATTACCCTCATTTATATTCATTTCCTTAGAGTTTATATTCAATTTTTCTCGGTATTTATTTTTTTCAATATTAATTCTCAGTACACATCTCTAAAATTTATATTCTAATATTACCCTCATTTAAAATTGAAAATGAGGGTAATATTAGAATATAGAGATGTGTACTGAGAATTAACATTTTTATAATGTGTATACTGAGAAAGTATTCATTAAATGTATGTACTAAGAAAAATTAGTGTGTGGGGATAAAATTACCTCAAAATGTCACAACCAAATCATAATCATTTCATTTTTTTTGTCACGAAAGTCAAAAAAATCAAAAAACCTATCGCAAACGAGATTTTTTAGCCCATGCTAAAATAAGTTAAAAAGTTAACCCACACTCCAAACGAAGACATAGAAAGATAGTTTAGAATTTTATTTTTTTCTCTCAACTCTATTAAATGACAAATAATGTATTTATAATTTCAAAAATTATGGGAAACAGTTTGTTTGGTTTGGATTTTCAGGATTCACTTTTTAGAAAATTGAATTTTTTTATTTTTCGTATCTTTTTGTTTTCACTGATTTTTTTTAATATTCTAAGTAATTTTTTTAATTTTTTAGATATACTTAACATAAATATACTTAAAAATTATAATATTTGTGAAAAAATATTTAGAAAATTTACTAAATACCAAAAATATAAAAAATATGAGAATTTAGTACATTTTTTGTATTCTTTTGTATTTATTAATTTTTTTAAATATTTTTTTATAAATATTTTGATTATTAAAAAAATATAAAAAAAATTACTTAAAATTTTGAAAATATTCATTAAAAAAAATATTAAAATATTGAAACCAAATCCATTGATTTGTATTTTAAACAATGTAAACTCGGACCGGTTTTATTCTTAATTGGACGTAGTTTTTGGTTCATTGACAAAGCGGGTTCTTCTTCGGACCGTTTCGTGACGTCTTGTACAAAAGCACGACCCGTATCTTTCAAACCTCGTCGTCCCTCACCATCCAATCTCTCCCTCTCTCTCTCAGATCGACCTTCAATTCTCTTCTGATTCATCTTTTCAATCCTCAAATTCGATCAATTCTCTCCATTCTCTATCGGTTGACCCCAATTTCTATATCATCTGTTGGTTCTACATAATTCTAGGGTTAGGGTTCAGTCTCCACCATCTACGTATCTAGACCTCCGATCTCTCAATCCTTTGCATCGGAGCTATGGATTTTTTATTTCTTTTCGTTCCCCTCAATCTATCGATCCTGATTTTGTAGATTATTGCGACCCCTTTGTTATTTTAGGGTTTCGAGGTGTTCGATATTTTTAGGGTCCGCTGTATCTGCAAATTGCTTGAGGGTTTTGGTAAGTCTGTTGATTAGATATCCTTTAGTGTATGTATTGATGGTGAATTTGTTGGGTTTTTTTGTATATTTAAGAATTTAGGGCTAGGGTTTTGAAAAATTTATCGGTTGCTTAAATTGTTTGGGAAATTCATAATCCATCCCGACTATATCTTTAGTTTGTTTAATATGTATATATATGCCTTAATTTTTCTATTGATTTTTAATTTTATATTTAATTTATGATTTAATTTTTTTGGGGGGATTACTATTCACACTCCCACTTTTAAAATTATACTCCAATTTTTGTCATTAAGTGTGTATTGATTTGTTAATGCTGAAGACAATATATGGTGTGCATTATAAAAAAATGAGAGTGCGAATAGCATTTCTCATTTATTTTTTAATTTAAAAGAGAAAATTTTAGCATTCACTGGAAATTTTAAGTCAACTAATATTTGGAATTAACAATCTAAATTTTAATTCAACTAATATCTATATGATTATAAATTTTTTTGGTGGGGATAAGGATGATATATTGGGAGTAAATGTTCAATATTTAAATTAGATTGGATTGAATCACGGAGCATGTTGTTTGGTCATAATTCCCATGTTATGGGTTGCTTGCTTCAATAAGCAACTCTGATACTGCAGTGAGCAACCAAACATAGAAAAAAGTTTGTCCTTAGCTCGCATTATATTTGTAAAAGTATGTCCTAAACTCAGCATTAATTGCTGAATTCACTTAGCTCTGTTGCTTACTGCCAAAACTGATTGTCGTGTTGCTTATTTATCAAAAAAAACAAAAAAAAAAACTGAATTGTCGTGTTGCTTGCGACCCTATCTCACATATGGAGAGGTAGTTACACAAATAAAGGGAGTCCTAGCAAAATGACACTAATTGATAAGCGGGACAAATGCAAACAGAGACTTGAATTGGGGCTCCAAAAACCAAATCTCCAATGCCAGGTTGGTAACTGATTGCCCCAAAAACTTAATCTGTTAGAAAATGGTATTAACCAGGCTTAATCAAGCTGTCTCACACTTGGAACTTGGACACTGGAGATAAAATTAGAAAAATGCCTATATTTTTTAGTTTTACTGAACTGGAACTGATTTGAAATTGATTTTCCAAATTAAAAATATTGTAGCCATGTGACCTCTCCTTTTAGTTAGATTTGCGTTTTATTCGTCGAGAGGTTTAACAATTTGTTGCCATGAGACCTATACTTTTAGGTGGAGTTTTTGATATTTAGGATGCTTCTCCATATCGAAAATATGCCATATGAAACTGCTGTAGACACATTTTCGAATTTCTTTCCCATGTTCATGAAACAGGTTATTTTTATTTTCCTAAAAGGTGCAGCATTTGCTCAGTTGCTTTGCAATTTTGTTAAGAAATCTTTGAATACTTATAGCTTCCATTATTGTTTTCTAATATCTGCTACACGATAACTCTCTTAAAAAATGGATATGATTTCTGATAAGGTACATCCTTAAACGCATCAGAATCTGTGGCCTTGTGTCTAGATTTTGAGTTGCAGTCTAACACGCTTGTTCATATCAAACCAGACACGCTAATTGTTCATCCTGCAGGTCAAAATGGGATTCAAACGACCTTTTGATGAGGAGGAATTTCACGAGTTTCCTCTTAAGCACGCAAGACAAGTTGACTGTGGCAATAAGCTGACCTCGTTGATGGAAATATATCCCTGTCATGAACCCACTCAAAAAGCTTATATTCTGGGTAAGTACCTGACTGAACTGTATTTATTTTCTGATTATTTTATTTGCTGATGGTATTATTTTGATGAGAGTAGGTGAAGGTGAGAGCATTGTTTATAAATTTCAATCAGGTGATGGAATTGAATATGAAAACAGAAATGTGGTCTCAGATTTGGATGACAAAGAGTTGGAGACCAGTGCTCCCTTGTCATGGGTCACCAGCAGTACCGGTGGGGAATATGCTGAATCTGGCACTGCAATTTGCTCCTCTCTGCTGCCGGAATATTTGGAATCTCACTCTCCAATAAGATCAAAATTTCAGTTTAAAGATACGTATTCATCACTGTTGAATGGTTCTCCTCGAAAACAAATTCCTGTTGGACCCAATCATCAAGCTGAGCTTCCGTTATGGGAGCCGCAAGCGATGCAGAAATATTCTTTGGGTTCTGATCACATCGGTGATTCTTTTGGGGCAAAACTGATGGCGAATTGTATCATTCCGATGCCTGATCCAGAATTGTCTGTTTACAGTAGTGTCAAGTTTGGAGAAGGTAGACAAGACTGTCTGTGCCCTGATCAGGGTTCTTTCAGATGTGTGCGACAACATGTAAAGGAAGCACGGGAAAGATTAAGAGAAACCATTGGGCATGAGAAATTTGTGAAGTTAGGATTTTATGACATGGGAGAGGAGGTATCACGGAAATGGACTGAAGAAGAAGAACAGATCTTTCATGAAGTTGTTTACTCTACCCCTGGGTTGCATGGTAAGAATTTCTGGGAGGATCTCTCTGTGGTGTTCCTAAATCGAAGGAAAAAGGAAATCGTTAGCTATTATTTCAATGTCTTTATGCTTCGGAGACGTGCTGCTCAGAACAGATCTAGATTCCTGGATATTGACAGTGATGATGATGAGTGGCACGGACCACTAGTAGTTCAAGACTCTGCAATTGAGTCTCTTGGTGATGGTGAAGATGAAGATGAAGATGAAGAATACAGTGAGAAATGCAACAGTGACGATTGTGAGGGTAGAGTTATGAGTGATCATAAGGAGCGTTTGCCCAAAAATGATGATGATGGGTCGAGTGACAGGTTGAACCCTGGTTTTTTGATGGAACCATGTGATGCTAAACTCTGGGAAGCCAGGTACCCAATGAGTCCATTTGAAGATTTTGATTTTGTGTCAACTGGGAACATGATTGAAGAGATCTTTGGCCCAAACACTGAAACCAGTAAGTTGAGTCATGAAGAAAAGCATTAGATAGTGGCTCTTCAGATGATCTTTACAGTTTCACAGTAATTTATTTTAGACATGGCTTCGCCTTGGTGAGAGCCAAGAATGCAAGTGGCCTGGGAACGAAATTTTCTTGTAAAACATAAGAGCCTTCAATTTTCCCATGTAAAGTTTGTTTGACTCCCCTCTGTAATCTTTCCTTTACCTGTGTAATGCACAAATCTTTGATTTGTTTGATTAGAGTGAAAAATATGATGGAAAGTGCAAGTGACAGAAACATGAAATGAAAAAAAAAAAAAAAATTGAAAGGATAATTTTAGTTTTTAGAATGCATTTGGTTAATATGAAAATTTTGGGAGAAAGTTATAATGATGGACTACTTGCACGATATATATATATATATATAGATTGAAAGTCAAGTTACGGTGTTGATATGAATTATATAAATAAATAAATATATAGAAAAATGATTTTCTTGTATTTTTCACACTTATTCTAAACAATTTTGAGAAAAACAAACGGTTACATCCACCACCAAAGATACTGATTTAAACCCTTAATAAGCTCTATTTGAAGGAGAGTCGTTTGTTTAGTTGCCCTTTATTTGCATTAATTAATTAGAGGATTTTAAGTGGTGTCTTTTGGGATTGGCCCTTCAAGATCCAGCTTCAGAGTCTAGATTTAGTCATGGACTTCATTTCAAAGATTGAGCCCAACAATTTTAAGGGAGAAGGATTTGAATGTTGAATGTTGACATAGGGCGTCTTGGGCTAGAGGTCTTGGACTTTGGGGTATTTTAAACAAAGATATGGGCCTTTTATGGGCTTTAGAAAGCTAAATGGGCCATGTGCAAGATAAATTGATAATCATATTGCAAATCACAACACCACCACCACCGCTGCCACTACTTACTGCAAACAACCACCATCGTTGACTACCTAACCACCACTTTGCCACCAACTCTTGTCTATATCTCTCAAGGGTGTATTCTCCACTACAATCTAACTAGTGTAACCTTCTCCATCACTGACTACGATCGTCACAAACCCAACCCAGAATGAATGTAATTCCTCAGGCCCACCAAGACACCATAACCCCACCAAGATATCCATAGAGGGTGGTCATTGTAATTTTTCATATAACAAGAGTAGTGATTATAATATGGCCAAACCTCAAGGGTGGATGATGTAAATTACCATTTTTTTTAGCTCGATGAATTAAGAGTAAAGAAATTTGGAGGAACATTAAGTCTCACAAGCTTGGCATTCATACACATGTATATATATATATATGTAAAAAATATAATACCTCATTTTTTTATCCATAGAACTAATTAAATATTGTAAATGAAATTAAGTGTTACCTGAATAAAAATTTTAAAATAATCCAACATAATTATGTAAAAATTATAAGAGTTGCTGTATCTTTTTAAAAAATAAAAAAATAATATAATTTACCCATATCCTATTTACCATTTCATGTGTTATATTAAATTTTGAGTTTCACTATTTACTTATATTAAAAAAAATATATTACAAAAATGGGAAATTCTAACATACGCACCCTTGAAAGAAGTGCACCATATACACACTTAATTATGCCATCTTTTTTTAATTATGATATTATTTTAGTTACAGTGGTGCACTCACTAGTGTACCAACACTAGTTATGATATTATTATTGACCACACTCATTAATTACATTACAAATATTAAAAGCCTCTTAAATTATGTCACATAATCGATTAGTACACTAGTTAGTATACTAATTGGTACATATAGTATTATTCTTTTAGTTATGACTCATGAGTTTTTTTAATTATAATATTATTTTAGCAAAAATGCTCCGTAGCCCGAAAAACTGAGACTCGAATGGCTCGAATAGTACGGAAAATATTATCTTACCGGTAAGAGAATAAAAAAAAGTCTTAAAACGACGTCGTTTTAGGATTTTGAGCCATTCGAGCCATTAATTTTTCGGGCTCCGTAGCAGTCTTGTTATTTTAGTTATGACCTATGAGTTTTTTAATTATGTCTTATATTGTGTTTGGTTATGACAATAATTTTGTTTAACTATGACTCAGAAAATATAAAATTATGTCATTTTTTTCTTTACCTATAATGTGCATAAAGGGTGTATACCATAATAGGGGTGTTTGGGAAAAAAGTTGTACTAAAATAGTCGACTAAAAGATAAAATAAGTTTGTTTTGAGAAGTATGTTAAAAGTTATTTTTTTGACTTCTATTAAAAACACGTGCAAAAAATAGAATAGTAATTTAACTCAAAAAAATTAAAAAGCCAAAAAACAACTTTTAGCCAAGTTGCCAAAACAAACCATAAGCTAAAATAACCAATACAACAAAATATCACATCTAAATCATAATTATTTTACCTTTTTTTTTTTTCACAATCATCAAATTAATTATAAAAAAAAAGTAAATTAACTTTCCAAATATAGCTTTTTTAACTAGATTAAAGTAACTAAAAAAAAAACACATAACCAATTAAAATAATCAACTTTCCAAAAAACGCCAATCAGTATGTTTAGGTTCAATTTTTTAGAAATCGAGTTTTTTATTTTTCTTATTATTTTTTTTTGTTTTCAGTGAATATTTTTAAAATTTTAAGCAAAATTTTTTGAAAAATTTAGTCTAAGGTCTCTCTCCCATTTTTAGGCCAAATTTGGAAAGTCTCAAAAAAACTAAAAAGTTAAAAAGTTACTCAAAAAGTTAAAAAGTTATCACAATTCACCAAAAATCAACAATTAACTCCCAATACTAATTTTCCCCTACACATTAATTTATACAATTTTTTAATACAAATTTTTCCATAAAAAGTCAAAAAGTTAATCCAAACATACTTATTTTCAACCTCAACTTTTTAGTCTAAAAGAACAAAAAGTGCACTTATTTAGGACATCCCAAACAACCCCTAGTAATGGAAAAAATTCACAATGTTATTTTTTGATATTTAAGGTCCCTGAACCCACACTCATATATCATATCAGGGAAATTTGACTCTCTTTCTCTCTCTTTCCGATCACCATCACCATGCCTTTTTCACTGGAGAACTTATCTCTGATTTCATGGCCAAGGATTCCCACGTCGTCTTCTCCGGCCACACCATGTGATTTTCAGGTGAATAAATATTATGATCTTGTTACCAGCTTTTACGAATATGGCTGGGGAGAGTAGTTCCATTTTGCGCCCAGGTTAATATTTTTGCTCTTTACAGTGCTCCTTTTCCATCTTCATCACTTTTTTGTTTCATGTCTGTGAAATATTATATATATTTTGAGTTGATAATAAAAGACTAAACAATCATGATACCTCTGCCTGCAGATGGAAAGGGGAGCCTTTTAAAGAGAGCATTAAGCGACATGAACACTTCCTTGATTTACAAGGAGATGACACTGTGAAATGGTTGAGGACCTTCACATGGACGATGCTTTGTTATTGTCTCTTGGCTTGCCTAGTGTAGACGTTCCCCGAACGCCCCGGGAGGGTGAGTCTCGTTCTGTTCGTTTGGGGTCACTACAGCTCAGGACTCTAAAATTGTCACGGTTCTTAATCTGAACCAAAGAGTCCAAATCCGAAAAATCGTTTTGAGAAAACAGATTTTGAAAGAAGTGCCAAACATGGACTGCTTTGCCAGATACAGAGTCGCCACCTAAATATTTTATTTTGGGAAATTTTGGAAACCCTGACTCGTTTGCCTAAGGCCACGTGTCCGTCATTACCAAAGTTGCCTTAGCTCGGGAACTTGGGTACGATTGGGGAAGGTCACTTCGTGAGCACCCCCGCTCGCCCGATCAAAGATCGACCTCTACTAACCATGATATCTAGTTTTGAAAAACATTGTGTGTTCTTATTCTGGTTATTAGCCTAGATTTACTATGTGATGCGCACAGCATACAAGTATAGACTGGATCGTCTGAATTGGAACAAAACATTTCATGTTTGTTTATTTTGAAAATGGTTTGATAGTGTTACCCGCAAGTAGGCTAAGACGTGGATTTGCCACCCTCGGGTGGGCTTAAAAAA